TATACCTATACTGTAGATAAACCTTGTAAATATGATATTTATAATAAATCATTTATTATCTTTATTTTATAGTAAAATAATAATATACCTATACTGTAGATAAACCTTGTAAATATGATATTTATAATAAATCATTTATTATCTTTATTTTATAGTAAAATAATAATATACCTATACTGTAGATAAACCTTGTAAATATGATATTTATAATAAATCATTTATTATCTTTATTTTATAGTAAAATAATAATATACCTATACTGTAGATAAACCTTGTAAATATGATATTTATAATAAATCATTTATTATCTTTATTTTATAGTTAAATAATAATATACCTATACTGTAGATAAACCTTGTAAATATGATATTTATAATAAATCATTTAAAATCTTTATTTTATAGTTAAATAATAATATACCTATACTATAGATAAACCTTGTAAATATGATATTTATAATAAATCATTTATTATCTTTATATCATAGTAAAATAATAATATACCTATACTGTACATAAACCTTGTAAATATGATATTTATAATAAATAATTTAATATCTTTATTTTATAGTTAAATAATAATATACCTATACTGTAGATAAACCTTGTAAATATGATATTTATAATAAATCATTTAATATCTTTATCTTATATATATAACTTATCAGGTAAGGTGGCCTCCACAATCCACCACCACATCCGCCACTTCCCTTTCGGATATATTGCTTGTAAAAAGTAGGATAATGCAGCTGTCCTTGGAAATCTTTCTCCACCAAAATTGCATGGCATTGTCAAATTTGGAAAGGAATATAATACTCAATTCATTTATGACCTGTTTAAAAGTATTAATTGAATTCAAAAGTGCTCAATTTGTGCTATCAATATCAATTTTCAAATCTATATTATCAAAATAGCATTGCCAGGCATTGTCAAGGTAACATACACTGAAGTAAAAAACAATAATTAATTTGAAGGAAATAAAATTCATGAACTTTGGAATTTATCTGAGATCACATCAAACCACATAAGAGCCATGTTTCATCCAAATCACACAACAAATGTATAAAGTTGAAGTGAAAAAAATTGTAGTTTTCAAAGCTCTAATAATTTTCTCTTATGCAGATTTGATTATTGTCTGTTATATATTATTTGTAGGAATGACTGCATAAAATATTGCCCTTCTGAATATATTGCTTGTAATGCAGCTACCAGTATCCTTGGAAAATTTCCTCTACTGAAAATTGCATGGCACACAAAGAGATATAACACCTCAATTCATTTCTGACCTGATTAAAACTATTAATTGAATTCAAAATGTAATCATCATTTCTCACTTTTCAAACAATATTTTGAACTCAAGGGGGATGATATGTACCCTTGTACTGTTGAATTTCAAGATATCACACATAACACAGCAAGTGAAGAGAGGTGGGCTGCTAATTTATTGTCAAATTATAATAATATATAAACTCTGAAGTAATATAAATTTGTCTTGACATTAGTAGTATCAAAATGAAAAGCAATATACCTATCTAAATCACAGTCCCTTAGTATAAGTCTACTTATCAACAAAATCAACTTAATAGATACGAAATGAAAACGTCCAATAGGTTATTTTAGATGGACTTATAAAACCTAAACAAAACACTCAAAAATAACATTGAGATTATTGAGAAATGTGATTTAAACAGTGTTGCTATTGAAAGAAAGGATTGACTTTTCTCTTCATAAAAACCTTATTTAGGTTGAAATCATGTATTGATATATAAAAACTAAATCCTACCTTAAAAACTGCTGAGTGTGAAGAAAATCATCTTTATAAAATTACACTATATTCATGTTTCATTATTCCACTATCATATTCAATATATCCATCAAAAATAAGTAATATCACAATATTCAATATTTTGAAATATAATACCAAATCTTGAAACCAGGTGACCACAAAATAGCCTGTGGTACTAAATAAAGACGCTAGCTGAAATACTTATCCTTACATTTTGAAACATGTGAATGAAATATTAATTTCGACACACATATTTCAAAACCACATATGTCAGGATTAAGTGTTTCCTCCACATTTTTGAAACAAAAAAATTCAAAAAAGGGTGGAGGAGGGTAAATTGAATGTGTGAATAATGACTATGGATAAGGAGTGGTAAAAGGTAGGAGTACTATGGCATGAGGTCCGTCTATATAAGTGACAGTAAAGAAAATTTGTGTAGGTGTTTTATGATGTGTATATAGATCAGGCTAAAGCAACCTAATTATTTGATTTAGAATCAGCTCCATATGTCTCGACAAATGACACCACCTACATAGAGTTTGCATCCTGTGCACCATTTTATGTGGGGGTGAAAATAATTATTTGCACATATTAACTGATTTGTTAAACTATTTCGCAATATGCTTTAAAGTACAAGGCTAATAATTGTATATCTATCAAAGATATTTGTTTCAGCCAGAAATGTCAAAATCATCATTTAACATCCAATTTATTACCATTTTTAATAGATGTTTTTTTATTCAATTCCCTTAAGTATTTTAAGAAAAATTCAAATTAACTATGAAACATTCTCATCAAATTGAGATTTGGATTAAAACTTATTTCAAAAGAATTCCAACTTCTTGTCTGAAATTTTTATGAAAAAGAAGACTTAATTTAGGCCTAATTATCAATTAATTCTGTTAATAAAGTTGAAGTTGATTTCAACCAAGTTTGTTTTTATGTGTCCATTTGTATTTGCTTATAATCCGACAAAACCTGTATCTTATTATATATTTATCTTATTTATATTATCTTATTTTCTTCCAAATTGCTACAAGTAGATAAAATATAGCTCAAGAGCCAAAAGACGGACGTGGGTGCCCTACATGCACAAAGAAATATGTACTAATATAAAACTATAATTAGTTCTATCATTATCCTTTAATACAAAAAAATTCTGAATAACAGCAACAAAAGAATTATATGAAAGTTAAATTAAGATATGTCACGCTTTTCTTTTCTTTTATTTCCAAACAAACTTAAGGTTAGATCCTTTAAATAGGATTTTGAAATAGACTTCAAACATTTATATAAAGACAATATAGAATAGTCTTATAATGAATCAGCTTTATTATTGATTACTTTAATATAGGTCATTGTCTTCTTTTATATTAGTTCTGGAATATAAACCATGATGAAATTCTAGTATATGTGGGTAGATAGTTCACAATGGTTTTTATGTTAAGGATATTTAAAAAAAAGCACTCCTCCACTAAATCAAATCATTTAGATTTTATGGTAAAAGAACTCTAATTAAAGAGCAATTTGCAACATACACAATATTTGAGATTAAAAAAATATAAAATACAGACTGAAAAAAAAACTAAACTTCTTTTTTATTTCCTGGAAGAAATATAGGGAATCTTACTAAGAAATTGAAATAAACTAAGGACTGGCTCAAAATAATGCCTGTCATCTATTTGATGCAAAAAACAAAACCAGTCCTTTAAGGTAAAGTATATGATTTTTGTTTTTTACCACGAAAGGCTGAAAAAGATAATAATTGATTAATATAGGTTTTAAAACAAGTGGTTTAATTCTCACTTAATGCACTTATAAAACGAAGACAATGCTACAAATAAATCAGACTATCAACTTTTGAAACAAAAAAAGGAAGATAGATAAAAGATCATTGTGAGTGGGAGATGAGCTGAATCGTATTTCAACATACTTTCAATATGAAAGAAAGAAAGAAAATAAGGTCTCCCAAGAGTCCAATGAAATTAAATCAAAAGTAATACAAAAATTTACTACTGGAGACATTTCTTGTAGGAGTATAGGCAATGGATGATTTAAGAACAAATACTACAAGCTTTAATAAAAGATTAAACAATAGCTTTATTATTATATTGATATATTTTCAATGGCCTATTAATATATACAATCATGAATAAGAGATTTATAAATTCTATCAGACTATATATGTGAAATATCAATATAATTAGATCCATGAGAAAAGAAATAAAGACATAAACAAGAATTGGAGGGCATGGGCGCAGATCACCGGGGGGACAGGGGGACATGTCACCCCCGACAGAAAAGCTAGGGGGGACATGATATTCCAAGGTTTTTAATTATTTATTCCTTGAATTATCACCTAGGTGAAAATTAACAACACTAGCTCAACTGAAACGTTCTCATGCCGCTATACTCTGCAATCGACCCTTTTGGATAACTCCTGCGTACGACACTGGTCCCCTCCGCATTGAAAAAGCGATCTTTATCCCTGTTGGAGGGTACTCCCAAAACTGTTATCTTGGATAATTGGATAAAACTACAACTAGTTGGACAGTCTACCAACTAAAAGAGCTCAATTTGTGCTATCAATATCATTTTCAGAATCTAAATAAATTGAAATACCATTGTCAGGAGTGGCAACACACTGATGTCTAAAGTTAAGAAATTATCTCATTTTTTTCAGGAAAACAAATTCAATGTCAAAAATATATCTGAGATCTCATAAGATCAATTTTTATGTTGACCTATAAATATGTGGAGTTGAAAGTGACAAAATTTGTAGTTTTCAAAGCTCTATGAATAAGGACACGGGTCATTTCAAAACATCAATCATGGAACAAGTGACATCACATCCAGATAAAGCATATCCAACTCATCTAGCTTTTAATATGCTAAAGTGCATTTTCACAATGTTTTCTAAATTGTTCATTGATACAATGTCACCTTCTGAGTTCTCATCAACCCACAGAAGCATACCAAGTTTCAGGCAAATCAGATGAGAATTTTTAAGTGCAATGAATCAATAGCTCTCCATTAAATTCAAGATCTATCTACATTTGCATACAGATTTTAATCAAAAGCAAATAAAAACTCTAGCTTTTATCTTCCTTGCCAGAAACAGCACAATAAGCTTAAACATCCGTTTTCATGAAGGCCTGTAAAAATATGAAAAAAAAACTTCTCAAAAAGTAGGTACTTAATCCCTACAAAACCTGTTAACTTTTGTTATTTAAATATTGTTTTCTTGGCATTTTATTTCGCACAACAAGAGCTTTAGAGCCTAGAGATTTTGGTAAATATCCTATATATGGCATTTCTAATGTTTCTTCAGATTTTTCATATTCTAGGTACATTGTGTCGGGTAGGTGTATAGCACCTTTTACTAGAAGATTTACATTCAAAAGCTTTTCTTGTGGAATAGGACATATGATATACAAACATTTTTTCTTAATGTCAATTGCGCGCACAATTCCTAAACCTACACAGTTAAAGATTGGAGTTTCTTTGAACAATCTTAGCCCATTTTCTAGTCTTTTGTCCACCTTTGTCAAGTCTGCTTCACATAATCCAACAACAGAAGCATTTAAAGCATACAGAATTTGTGAGTAACTACCACAACTCTGACAATCATGAACAGCCACTTGGTTAAAGTCAATCGCGTATGGTTCTACATGGAAAAGTTTCCACCCAATTTTAAGATTTTGATTCAGATAAGCAAGCAAAGATAATTCTCGCATATGAGCTGCTTTAAATTCAGTTTTATGTTTTGTGGGTACATCTGAGTCAATGACTAATAAATTCTGCTCCTGAAACTGGTTAGATTTGATTGTCAGTGATCTGTCAGTATTGTAAAGCCATCCAGGAGTGTGAGATAGATATTCATGAGTTAAAATAGGGAAATTGTTATAATTATATTCACATCGTAATTGGATTATAATTGATGGCTGTATCATATGAATCAAATCCACAATTATATGAACACCTAATCCTTCATTCCATCCTAAAGTATTAACAATCAATGGCTTTTTTATCTGTTGATCACGATAACATTTCAAAATATACTCCACACTTCTTATATATCTTGATAAATTTCGTGACGGTGTTGTTTCACCATAAAAACACATGGTACTTGAATCATATTGATGTGTAAAGGATGGTCCTAATACAGGTTTTATTATCTCATGAAGTGATACAAATCCTGAGGGTGTAAACTCTGCTTGACCTACATCACAATCTAGAAAGTTCACTGAATCCATTATATTTAGAGTCGAGTTAATAAGCATTCTATTTAAGGTTGACTTTCCAGAATTCTTACCACCGACAACCATAACAATCGGACAACCAACATTCTCAATCAGTTTCTTCCAATGGAATTTAGCCATTTCAGTTTGCTGAGAGGAACTAACTACCACAGAATCTGTGTTTTGCAGCATTGAAAACGAATATTCCATCTGTTCTTCTGTTTTGAATATATTTGCATATTGTGGAACAGTAACTATATAATCATACAATGCACAATTTAACATGTCACAGAGGAGAACAACACAATCACCTTGTAACTGACAAGATACATTTTTTAACAACTCCTTGATATTCATCTCTTTAAACAAATCTGGCTCAAAACATTCTTGTATATTCTTTTGTGGTTTTCCTCCTTTTGTTTTAATAGTCAAATAACTGTTAGTGTTAGGAGACATAACGTCATAATATTTTGAATCAGTATCTGTGATAAGATAGCTTAAAATCTCACAACTACCACTCAATGCTTTAATTCTAGCTAGCCCTTTAAAACATATTTCAACTGGGTGAGAGAGCACAATAATTGTCTTAAGACCTCTCTGTAGCAATACAAATTTATCTCTGACTATAGTTGGCTCTTGTTGTACTGTATTTTTCTCTTTACCAAATATATCTGACATTTCTTCAGGGCTGAGGTTATCAAAATTATCATTACTGGTACCAGAAAATTCATCACTACTCTGATCAGAAAAAATAATACCAGGTTCAACAACAACAACTTCTGGTTCTACTACCTTTTCATTCTTTGAGTCTGAAACATTGTTCCCTAACAACTTCTTAGAAAAGAATGAAATTGATTTAGAATTATTGGTAGCATCGGAAGCATTTTCATCAGATTCAAATACATCTTCACTGCTTTCCACAAAATCTAGAAAGGCTGCTTCAGGTTTTAAATCATTTAAAAGACCAGTTTTTTTATTATGTACCATAGCTGTTTGTTTCTTGAAATCAATTATATCTACTTCATATTTAAATACTGTTTTTCTACTCTTTTTGTTTGATTTTGATACTTTACCATTTCTCAATACACTGGCAGATGGTAAGGTTTTGACAGATTTCAGCTTCATACGACCCATTTTGAAAGAATCCATGAACATTAACCTAAAAGTACAAAACTACTTGTTAAAACCATATCAAAGTTTTCAAAACAATAATAGGGTCATAAAATATGAAAGTTGCCTTTTACTTTTTGTCTGATTGAAGTAATTTTTGAAATTTTTATGAATAGCAGCCTCAAAACAGTAGGCCTACTGTTAGTCTTAGAATGTCTTTGCGTTGATAAAATATAAACATAAGCACAAATTATGGCTTCAAAATTTGTTTTTACAGGACAAAATTTGGTAGAAATTTCTAGGAGTGAAATGTGTTTCTTTTAAATTTAAACTACAAAAAATTATATCTTTTTATCAACAAACCATACTATTTTGAGGCTGATATTCCAATTCTCTTATAAATTAAAGAAAAAATTCAAAAATCTCTTTTGCTTTGCAAAGACAGAGGTTAAGAATTAGGAAGGATCTAGTACCTTAAAAAGTCAAAAAAGTTCAAAATTGTTCTATCGCAAAACTCAAAAAGTATCATTCATGCCTCAAGAGCATGCAAACCAAAGTGGGTGCTAAAAATATGATAAATTTTAGCACAAAGAACGGCTGTTTTATAGTCTAATTCAGCAATGTTACATACCAGTCATTAAGGATGTCATAAATTCCTAGTCACTGGGTATCCATACGTGTTTTTCTCGTCTAGGCCATCGATCAAACATTTTACACAAAAATAGATGAACGATTTTTCAATCTCATTGGTTACGACAAACTAGGGCTACAGTTGGGATGTACATATAGGCCATACATTAAAAACGTAAACACTGTCATACGATATTAATATCTATCTATTATTTTGGGGTGGGTAAACTGTCATATTATCAGTAAATTAAATTTTTCTATCACCTTAAATAGTTTGATGAATGGACACACGTGCTTCCTGTTTATAATAACTAAACTTGATTATTTGAACGGTCTATAGGCCTACTTGTTGAATGAGCAATATACATATTTCTATTTGTTTTATCCAGGTATATTATCGAATATATACTTACTCACAATTTCTTAACAACACCCTTTGGTCTTAAGCAAAAACTACAAGTCAAGCCTTATATTACAGGTGTATAATATATTTTAGTGAAATCAGATTTATTGAATAAAATGTTAAAACAAGTTAAACCAAGGGCAATAGCTGTACTTCCGGTTGTGTATGTTTTTTGTGTATCTTTCTCTAAAAAAAATTGTAGATGATCTAAATCTCCTATTACTGCAAGTCTTTAAGAAACAGTAGATTTTTTAAATGAAAGGTTTGTATTTTAGATAGATCTATGTTTAGCAATATGATTGCAACTTTTCAAGTATTGGCAGCCAGGATCACAATAGATCTAGACAAACATGAGTTTTTATAATGGCCGAGGATATTCGCCACCCGGGTGGCAAACAATTATTCGCCACCCTCATTTTTTATTTGCCACCCGTTTTTAAAAATGTCTCTAGAGACTGACATTATTAGCTGTGAAGGCCATAGCGTTACATGCATTATAATGTTTTTTTATGTTCATTAGAAACGCTTTTTTGAATCACTTCTCGATATTCATGTCACCTACAAACCTCACGTGGCTCTGCATTGGTTTTTTTTTTATGCCCGGAAGTGTTTTCTCTTGACATTTCCCGGCAAATTTAAGGATTTTTTATATAGTGTGTGGGAGATCCCACCCTTTGAAGATTTTTAGAATCGGATTCCCAAAAACGCGAATTTCTGACATTCCCTATTAGTTTAGGAAAGCTGGAACAAAAGCTGAGGGTGGTAAAAAAGACCTTAGTGTGGTTAACAAGAATTGTCGATGGTACACAAGAATTGTAAGTGGTAAACAAATATTGGGGTGGTAAACAAGATGTGAGGGTGGTGAACAAGAGCTGGAAGTGGTTAACAAGAACTGCAGGTGGTGAACAGGAACGGAGGGTGGTTAACTAGACCTACGATTAGAAACAAAGACCGAGGGTGGTAAACAAGAGCTGAAGGCAGTAAACAAGATTTTTGGATAGTAAATGGGTTAATCAATAACATCTAGGGTGGTAAACAAGAGCCGAGGGTGGTTTACAAGAGCCAAGAGTGGTTAACAACAACAAGAGCATCGGCTGGTGAACAAGAGCTTAAGGTGGTTAACAAAAGTTGAGGTTGGCAAACAAGAATTGCGAGTGGTAAACAAGTATTGGTGGTGGTAAACAAGAGCTGAGGGTGGTCAACAAGAGCTGGAAGTGGTAAACAAGATCTGTGGGTGGTAAACAGGAACGAGGGTGGTGAACCAATGTAGGTTGGTAAACAAGAATTGTGGCTATTAAACTAGACCTACGGGTGGTAAACAACAGCTAGGGTGGTAAAAATAACCCAGGGTGGTGAACAATAGCTGAGGATGGTGAACAACAACTAAGTAGGTGAACAAGAGCTTAGGGTGGCTAAACAAGAATTATGAGTGGTACACAAGTATTGAGGGTGGTGAACAACAGCTGGGGTGGGAAACAACAGCTAGGTTAATGAAAAACAACTAGGTTGGTAACAAAGAGTTGTGGGTGGTAAACAAGAACTAAAGGTGGTATACAAGAACTGATGGCGGTGAACAACAGCTAGGGTGGTGATCAAGAGCTGAGGGTGGTAACCAAGAACACAGGGTTATTATCACCCGTACACATTACATACCACCCGTCAGTATTGTGTATTATCGTACGCCTTATTACCATCCTTACACATTACTGACCACCCGTCAGCATGGTTTATTATCGTACGCCTTATTACCATCCGTCAGTATTGTGTATTATCGTACGCCTTATTATCACCTGTACACATTAAGTACCACCCGTCAGTATTGTGTATTATCGTACGCCTTATTATCACCCGTACACATTACTAACCACCCGTCAGTATTGTGTATTATCGTACGTCTTATTACCACCCTAAAACATTACTTACCACCCGTCAGTATTGTGTATTACTGTACGCCTTATTACCCCCCTTGAACATTACTTACCACCCGTCAGTATTGTGTATTACTGTACGCCTTGTTACCACCCGTACTCATTACTTACCACCCACAGTATCGTACGCCTTATTATACCTTAAACCTGATTACTTCGAATACATATTTCCACCCACCCCAATGCAGTGTATTTACCACCCACATACATTACTTACACATTCCCGATGGCTCCAACCATCTTTGGATTTTTCGATTCGATTTCTTCTCGTCGGTGTTTGGGATCGGAAGGGCTTACTTGGAAAATGCGTCTAGGATAAATGTGACACAATTTGGACACGCGCCTGCTATGTCTTATTTTTTACTATTTACACATCTTCATCAACCTTTTTTTACTTACGTAAAGATCCCTCGACAATTGGAAATCGAAAATAAGAGTAGGCTAATGTCGCTGTCCTGACAAAATTTCCCTCATTGCATACTGCATGGCGTTTGCCCATCCTCAGTAGCCCATACAGGTGCAGAAAAGTAGAGAGTAAAACTTTATTTTATTTCATTTTTTTCTACGGATTTCTTATACAAACGTATGATGCTAAATTTCATAGCAACACTAACAGGACCTTTTGGGATGTATGCTAATTTGGTGTAAACAAAATGGCAGAATTTCTACTTTCGTTTCATAAATTCAATTTATATTAACACGGTCTTGTCTGAACCTGACAAAATCCATTACAAATTACTCAGAGTCGACTAATATGTCACTGAAAGAAACAATTATGTCAAAAAGGCTGACATTTCATGAATTTTTAGAGATTTTTCTGCCACCCGGATGGCGAATAGTCAAATTAATGGACGTGGACTATTCGCCACCCGGATGGCGAATATCCACGGCCTTTTATAATTGTAAGCACTGAAAGTGAAACATCTGCTTCTTTTCCGGCCTCTAATAGTTATTTTGAAAGCTGTCGGCTAGTGTAGAGACAGAAAAACTAGGCCCTGTTCTATCGGTTTATTCCGCACCCTCGAAGGTGTAGGGTTTTAAACCTATTTTAAATAGTATCTGCCAAAGCCAAATTATGTGATCAAATAAAGTTTGAACTTAAGTCTTAAGATTTGTCTCAGCTAAGACACAAACTTAAGATGGATCATGAAATTTCTTAAGCAAATCTTAGCTAAGCTTTGACGTAAGTCTGTTTTTGTAATGTATGCATTATGTGATAGGACGAAACATGCACTCTTGTGACGTAAAATCAGCTTCTATTTTGTACAGTCTCGTCATTTCGCTGCTAAAAATGACCAAAATAGTGTCTCGTCATAATGTAGAATATTTGCATATAAATCTACATGTAGGCTATATTTATTTTTTTATGCCTTCCTTCGTGATTTTGGTCATTCATTGGGTAAAAGGAGAAAATATAAATCTGATAAAAAAACCACAAATCACACAATATTTTTATGAACTAAACCAAATATAAGTCGTAGGCCTAGGTCTAAGTTTAAGCAGAGATTTGTTAAGACTATATCATGCCTCTGCATTATTAAATGAATAAGATTGAATATTTTACATTTTCTAAAATCTGTCATAAAAGTAGTTCAATAAATCTAACTTGGTCTACTGTTTTTTTCTTGATCCCAGGGCCTGGTTTCACAATTTATCTATAAGGCTCCTATACATTGACGTTCTTGCATAAATTGTGGCATAATGAATTTTGGCGAAAGAAACACATTTGTGGTACACCACTTATTTTGAATTTTCAGGGGACGCTTTTAACCAGTAGCGCACAGTTGTACCCCTTTTATCCTGGAAAACAGGTCTGCTGCGCTCCTATTGAAGAAACATTTCTGGTAGCTTCGTCTCTGTAACTGCTACACATATTTACTATGTTTGACACTGTTGCAGGTTTTGGAAATATAAACACACACTTTTGTATATAGTATGAACACTGACAACTGGACAAAAATGAGCTATTTAGGTAAAGTGATCCATGGTGACTATTTACTGATAAGGGGAGTGTTTTGAACAATGATGAGATTCATATAGGTGAGACAAATTTTATCAATATTTTATAATTGTTGTGTCAAGCATTTAAGGCTTCAATGAGGATAGATTTTTTGTTTTTATTTTGAAGGTATAAAGGTAATACATTGATGATGGATGAAAGACATTTCTAATATGAATTCGAAAAGTTCTGATGTGAAATCTACAGCCGTCGTGAAATATCAATCTCTTCCTCTACTAGCTCCATTTTCTATTCTACGAAATAATACTAATTTAAATATTCCACCCTCCAACTGGTTACGTAGTAACTCAAAACCTGAACAATATGTTCGAGATATTTCATGGCACACAGAACATTCAGACTTTTCAAGGTGAGTTCTAGGTCAATCAATTTAAACTAGATTACAATTTGGTTTTTTTCTGATAAATTTTTCGTGCATAAAATTTCGCCTGTACAACAAGGAAAAATTGTGGGATAAAGAAACCCAAAGTAGAGCAATATGACAACCTCTTTGGTTTTCGCTATCCTAGGAGACCATGAAGCAGGTGTAATGACATGCTCTGATTGGTAAGAATAATAATGTCATTTGAACGAAACTTAAGTAGAAAAGTGTTTAGCTTACAATAGAGATTAGAAATATTAGGAAAAAAAGAAATTGTAATTGCAATCTAATTTTAATTATACTATATTGGCTGTATATAGTCCGATGACCTTGAATAAGTCATCTTCAGTCAAAATTCCAGTCAACCCAGCTGTAAATGAGTATGGATAATCCGGGAAAGATCAATTCCAGGAGGTTTATCCAAGGACCAGATGGTAGAAAGAATCCTTAACTGTGAACCTAATATATATATTCTTATCTTTCTTTCTTAGGTAGGTCTTGTGCTGTAAATCAACATTTTAAATAAAATTTTTGAACTTTAAGCTATACTAATGATGTTTTAGGTTATTTTGTAAATACCTGTATTGGATATTGTTTATGCACTTAATGGTTTGAACTCAATTTTCAGCTTTAAAATGGCCAATAATTTTATAAAGGATTTAACAGATGATGTAGATGTGGTTTCAGATGCAGGTGTAAGTATGTTTGTCTTGTTTTATTCAAATGCTGTATTATATAACAGATTTGATGCTAAGATATTCACAAAAATGTAAATGGACTTATATTGAAGGCACTCATGTTTTTAATGCATTTATTAGTGCTTTAGAATGCAGTTTTCAACACCTAAGAAGAATGTACCTAATTGCTTCCCAATATTATCCCCATGATATTAACTCCTGTGATATCTGATATGGCAAAAATGACAGTTTTCAATTAATTTTCATAAACTGTTTGAAGTTTGGGAAAATTTTTAATTTTATCTTCCTTGTTAATCCTTTTGATTTTAAAGCTGGGTTGACTGGAATAATAAGGAAAGATGACTTATTCAAAGTCACTGGACTTTCATACACTGACTGAGAGTAGAACCCATGACCACCACCGTTTAATCATAATCAAGCAAACAACATTGAATTCTGACATTCTAACCTTCTACGGAACAGCCCGTTCCATTATTTGAGTTCTACATACATTTCATTTTATCAGAATAGATATGGCTAATATTATGTTAATAGATATATGAAAATATAAAAAATAATTTAATAAGTATTGATTTCAATTTCAGAATATAAAGACATTATTGAAAATGCCATTTTCTAGTTCATCTCATGTTAGTATGATGGTACATAGAATTGGTCAGACATTGTTACTGGATGATTTTGATATTCACAAACATTTACTGCGGCAAGAGAAGGTAGGTTTAATTCTAATGTGTATGTACATTGTCAACAATTATCTCTTGATTGTGAAAGGGACCAAAGTGTGTTGGTTTATATCCTCAAGATATGGGACTGGGACAAATTCAAATTTGTATGCTTTTGGACAAATGATACTGGAGTTTCAAATTATGTGAACAATATATTTTATGTGGAGATTTACATCCACAAGATCTTAGACAAGTTCAAATTACTTAGCCAAAATATGTGAATAGAGATTCTTTTCATGTAATGGGTAAATATTTTGTTGAATAATTTTGTCAGATCTTCAATAGCAGTGTAGTTTAACCATGGAAAATGAAACATTTGTAACATTCTAATCAGATTGTCATGTATTGGATTAGGCTAAATATTATGAAAAGAAATTTAGAACATCTTATTATTTGTAGGAAGATTGGAAATGGTTAAGATCATTTTATGAACAGATGATTGCCAAAAATACAGAGGGAAAGGTAAGTTTTTTGTTTTATTTTTTTAACTTTGTTTGTACAGTGTAAATTTGTTCCAATTTTTTCCAATTAAAAAGTTTGTTATAAGTTGTAAATATACAGATTATTGTCCAAATTACTTTTTGTATGTTTGTATTTATAATGACTGTAAGGCTAGAACAATACTTGACAGTACCCAAAAGAATGGGTTATAGGAAGTGATTAACTGACTTCATATATTGTTTCAGCCATAAATGACTGTATTAAGATGAAACAAGGAGAGCAACTAGATTTAGTTTATTTGAATCCAAATATTTATGAAAACTCATATTATGATCATATACAACCAGTCGATATTCATTAACATTATCACATTTGGTAACAAAATTTTAATATAATACCTGATATATTTCAGTTTAAAAATGTTCCCAGAAAAAGCAAAAGTCGTAATACTCTACAGAATAGAAATATGTTTTCCAAATTTCTCTATCACAGGTATGGCTATTACTTGTGGTATTATTATATTTTATTGTCAGTCAGGTTTATAAAATCAGGACCCTGAGGCCCATTTCGCAAAAACTAAGAAACAATTCAGATTTATAAAAAAAACCAGTAGACTGATTGATAAATAAAAATCAATTTTAATGATTGATGTATCAGATGACATATGTTGAGATTGTATTCACTTAGACTAATTAATATTGGTAATTCAGTACTCTCATTGGCTATTCTTCCAAGTCAGCCTAGGTGTGCCATTTTAGCCTGATGTCATATATATTACTAATATGTGAGAAATTAGCAGACCAAATATTTTACAGCTTTATATTATAGTTTTATACATACCCTGTTCCTTTGTGATATTGTCTTCTATGATTTTGACTGTGGTCTTTAGATGTCTTGATTAGTTTGTTGGTTTACTTGATTTTTCAATAACATAACATTTTTTTGTCTGCATACAAATTTGTTGTATTCCACTATTTCATCATTAAAAACATTGTAAATTATACCTGAAAATATTTTGTAAGTATGCTATTTATATCTATGTATCTTCTTCATCAAACTGTTTTAAAAGGGTTTATTAAAAACGGAGAGTGCTTATTGTTAACAAAGCAGTTTGACCAAGTTTTGTTATTTGGCTTTATAATGGCTTGATATTATTACTTGAAACCTTTAGAATTCATAGGAGATATATTTCTCTACAATAAGGCGTTTATTTTACGCAAATCTGTACACTAGTTTTCTAACAGCTTGCAAAAAGAATAACAAAGTTAAAAACCTTAAATAGTGTTTTTAAATATTTTTGGCGTTTAAAAATTAAGTTGAAATAGTTAAAACTTTCAGATATGTTAAAGGCCACATTTCTCCAGATTTTGGTAAATAGTTTTTCTCAAATTTGAAAAAAAAAACTTTTCTACCTCCAGTAAAACATTTGTTGTGAAGTTAGATTCTTATATTTTAAGTATTCTAAATGTTAATATGTATTTTATTGTGCATGTAGTTTACAATCAAGTAAAGGAGATGATAACAATGATGATAACAACGATGATGATGATGATGATGATGATGATGAATTAGAGACTTGTGTTATTCAATGTCATAATGATTCAGAATCTAAAACAGATACAGATCAAATAATACCATTAGATCCTTTACCTCAGGTAATCGTTATGTGGCAGTTGTTAAGGTACAAAATCTAGAATTGAATTTTACAAATCTTTTAAATTTTCTTCTATTTAAAGAATGAAACCATTAAAGGGAGGTAATGTGTTATTAAATACATTTTTATAGGCCTTCATGAAATGTATACTGTCTTTGCAGCAATTGTACAAAATCTTGTACATTATACATAGTCCTGAAGTAGATTTTGCTATGATATTGATATTATGTAGGATAGCCTGCTTAGTTTAAAGAATAATACTGTTATCACTATTGGAGTGTATTGTATTAAATGGCAGATTTTTCTAACTGCAGACATTTGAACCTGGTTTTCCAAGAGAAGTTTTATGGACCTTTGAAAATATTCGAATGCTAATTGGTGCTGATTTGCCAATATTTGGTGGTGAAACACATCCTTGTATTAGTTTGAGACTGAGGTAATTTTATTTTTTCTATACTTTAGGTAGATATTCTGATGAACATTATCAAAGTTTTAACAGTATCTGATTTCATTGTAGACAGTATGATGAACCAATCAATGTTTTACCTGTATCTGATTAATATTTCATTGTAGACAGTATGATGAACCTATCAATGTTTTAACTGTATCTGATTAATATTTCATTGTAGACAGTATGATGAACCAATCAATGTTTTAACTGTATCTGATTAATATCTCATTGTAGACAGTATGATGAACCAATCAATGTTTTAACTGTATCTGATTTCATTGTAGACAGTATGATGAACCTATCAATGTTTTAACTGTATCTGATTAATATTTCATTGTAGACAGTATGATGAACCTATCAATGTTTTAACTGGATCTGATTGATATCTCATTGTAGACAGTATGATGAACCTATCAATGTTTTAACTGTATCTGATTGATATTTCATTGTTGAAATTCTGATGAACCTATCAAAATTTGAACTGTAAATGATTAATATTTCATTGTAGACAGTATGATGAACCAATCAATGTTTTAACTGTATCTGATTAATATTTCATTGTAGACAGTATGATGAACCTATCAATGTTTTATCTGTATCTGATTAATATCTCATTGTAGACAGTATGATGAACCTATCAATATTTGAACTGTAAATGATTAATATTTCATTGTAGACAGTATGATGAACATATCAATGTTTTAACTGTATCTGATTAATATTTCATGGAGACAGTATGATGAACCTATCAATATTTTAACTGTATCTGATTAATATTCATTGCAGACAATATGATGAACCTATCAATATTTTATATATGTATCTGATTAATACTTCATTGCAGACATTCTGATGAACCTATCAATGTTTTAACTGTATCTGATTGATATTTCATTGTAAACAGTATGATGAACCTATCATTGTTTTAACTGTATCTGATTAATATTCATTGCAGACAATATGATGAACCTATCAATATTTTAAATGTATCTGATTGATACTTAATTGCAGACATTCTGATGAACCAATCAATGTTTTAACTGTATCTGATTAATATTTCATTGTAGACAGTATGATGAACCTATCAATGTTTTAACTGTATCTGATTAATATCTCATTGTAGACAGTATGATGAACCTATCAATGTTTTAACTGTATCTGATTAATATTTCATTGTAGACAGTATGATGAACCTATCAATGTTTTACCTGTATCTGATTAATATTTCATTGTAGAAATTCTGATGAACCTATCAATGTTTTAACTGGATTAGATTATTGGTTAGATAATTTAATGTGTAATGTACCAGAAGTAGCTATGTGTTTTCATCTTGATGGTTTTGTACAGGTTAGTCTTTTTCCTGGAGAAATTGTTTTTTGATATATGCTGACCAATTGCACCCACGTCTTGTGGATGTAATTTGTTCTTGCATCCATCTGTACATCAGTTCTCAGTAATTTTCACAGTTTGATCCAATTTTGATGATACATAGTATAAATGGAAAGATTTTGGATAAGTTTGATTTGGGTGAATAGCTTTTATGTGTCCACATCTCTCCACATAGACATATACTGTTCGTTTCCTTGCCCATCTTTAACGGACAATATCTAGTGAATTACAGTCAAGTAACCTAATTTCGGTGCTTACCTATTTTTCGTGCATCTCTGGAAATGATTAATAATTTACATATGCGACCTCGCGTGACCTCTGCATTTGCTTGTTTTGATAAACATGGGTTATTTGTAAAATGTCAGCTAGTAGAATGAATCCAGTAGTTTCAAGCAAAGTAAAATGTATTAATGTATACTTTGACAAATACAAAATGAAGGATTTCAGTTATTACTTAACCTCACAATTTTTTATCGGCTGAATTTCCTTATTATCCCTAGCTGTAATAGGAATTCCAAGTGTCGTCTGCTAGAATGTAGTCCAACGAATAAAGTCACGTGATCCACTAGCAAATTCCAGCAGATAAATTCTATGGAACACAAAGTGGGCCATATTCTTATATTGCTTCAATGACTTAAACTAAATCATGCTACGTATCTTATTTTGTCTTATTTTTGTTATTTTACTAAGAGAAGTTAATTATACCACAGGGTATCCATACAACGTTTTTTTCTCGACTTATTTATAGATTATACTATAATAGGTGACGCATTTTGCGGCCGTTGCCGAGTTGGTTGCTCATGAAATATGGGTCAAAGTAAGGGATTCATAAAGAAAATTGAAACAAGCAAATTTTAATTATTTAACTTTGACGAAATTTGGTGTTGAATCCTTAAATGCACGAAAATAGGTTACACCACTGTATATATAAAAAATATTTATGAATACTCCACTTAAAGTACTATATGATTGTCTCTTCATGTTATTGTATAATATATATGATATTATTTTTTGAACAGAAATATGAACTTCTAAAAACAGAAGATATACCAAATTATAAGGACTGTGAATTTGATCCCAAGTTAGTAATGGATATAGCTCGGAATATTTTATCATTTTTAAAGTCTAATGCAACACTAGAAGGTCATACTTATTGGTTATATAAAGGTAAGAAGATTACAACATTTTCTAGGCATCATTTCCAATTTACTTGAAGCTCATCAGTTACCTTTCAGTTTTCTGAGGATGACAAGAGTGTTAAAGATGGCTATGCGAGTAAAATTAGTTATGCATTTAGCATTACAAACCATTCCATACAGCTCACTAATGAGCCAATGTTAATAGCCTTTCCCTACAAATTGGTGGTGAGTGAGATGTATCTATAAGCATGCAACAGTGAAATTTATCTACCATGTTTGGAATTTACTCAGTAGTACCAGTCATTGAATAAGTTCAAAATATGTCAATTTTAATGGCTTATTTCTGCTATTACCTGTAGATAGTAATGATGATGTAGTCAAGTTATATGATTTAACTACATTATGTGAAGGTGAAGAAGTCAAATCAAATCCATTCACTGTACCAGTTGGAATATTATTATATCGTGTGGCTAGAAACTTGTGTAATCAATCTGGTAGAAAGAAGACAGCTACAATACGAAGATTACTAGAAAATAGTTTATTATTATTAGATGAAGACAAACATTCACAGGTATAGATTATTTTAGGAGGAGTGTAGCTCAATATGTTAAAGCGTTTATATAGCGCATAGTGTTGTCTAAATATTTTTTATAATTTCAACTATCCATAGTGCTTTCAGAATTAGAATATGAAGTTTCATAAAATTCAACATGGGACTGATATGATTATGGTCACTTTCAGGATCTTAATAGCATTAGTTTAATTGTGAAGTTTGATATACTTTTACTGTATATTTAGGTGTGTACATCAGCATACTATTTGTTATCTGATTTGTATGTACCAGATAGTAGTATTAAAGATATCTGGGAAAGTAATAGTAGTGATGAATCAGATGATTCTTGTGTAAGTTTTTATTTTCTATTTTAAATCAAAATTAGTTAATGGTGTCACTCCTGCCTGTCCGTCTATTTTAAAACGTTTGTATTGCCAACCCACTATGAAAGTGTAATTTTATGAAATATTCAGAATAATGTTATGATCAAAGCAGTCTTGACCAGTTGTCTTAATTGGCAGACATGGAGCCCCAAACTAAATAAAGGAAATATATCTTTTACAGGATCAAGATGAAGAAATAAATGAAGAACAAGATAATAGTAAAGATGAAGTTAGTGTTGATGTTAAAACATTATATAAAGTACAAACACATTATGATAAAGGTTGGCATGTAGTAAGATCTCACCCTATAGCTGGTACAGTAGAAGAGAGATGTCAAGATGCTTTTAGATACATTAGAAAGGTTTGTTACATCAGTGGCAAATTCTTTTTATACACCCACACCCAGTAGGACTTATATTGCTGTCAACCCTGTCCCTCTATCTAGATGAAACTGGGAGTGAATATTTAGATAGATGATATTCAAAATGACATATTGCAAAATCTGAGAGTTGCAGTGGCTCAGAGATTTAAACTCTTGCATGCTATCCTGCAGGTCTAGAGTTTGATCCTGATAGTATAGACTAATGCTTTGATGCAGGTCAGAGGGGCTGAAATATTTGTTGTTAGGCAGGCACAATAAGTCAGGACCCTTTGTGAATTTTGAAGATGAATGAAGACTTGGAACTGATAAAAGACTAATTTCATTTTACACTGCATGGAAACTAAAACAATTTTTAAGCCCAATTCGGAATGGGAAAATAGGTTGTATAGTTGTACCTTTTCATATATTTTGCTTGAAATTTGACATATCTGGTTGAGAATAAATATTAATTGGATACATATAGCCATATTTTTGATAAAACCATATTTCTACAATACATTTTACTTTTAAAGGGTTTAGAATGCCTGTCCAGAGATTTAAATGTTATGAAGACTCGTGGAAAAGATTTCAGTATAGTAGAAGAACAGGCATATTGTGATCCTAATGTAGCTATACCATTGAGTTATGAACCATTAAGGAAGCCATCTTCAACAGACAACTTACAACTAACAACTATAGATAACAAACAACCTGAAGTCTATTCTTGGCATGGTTTATCTAAATGTTTACTATTACGTAAAGCTGCTATGACATTCTACTCTACATGTAAAGAGTATCTTTCTATACAGAAATTTGGTCATGCTCTAAGACAAATACGCTTTGCTATTGTGTGTTTTGGTAAGTCGTGTTTCTTTGGATTTATGGTTTCATTTGACTTTGGCTTTGGCTTTTTGAGCAAGAATTTGGTTTTGTTTATCTCTACCATCAATGCTTAAAAGGGAATGTACAGAGGATTTTTAGTGTCATTTAACTTTGCCTGAAATCTTTCATCTGTTTCATGCCTCTTCATAATTATTATAAATCTGTATTATATAACAATTGTTGGCTGATTTTATACGCCCACATAAAATTGGGGGCATATATTGCCGTCATCCATGTCAGTCCATCCATCCGACCAAAATTGCTCGTAAACACTCTACAAGGCACAATTCTTGACGGATTTTGGCGAAACTTGTTATGGTTATTTGTAACCACTCAAGGATGAACCCTATTGAAAATCAGAAAAATAGAAAAATATTTTGTATGAGTTATTGCCCTTGTTCTTAAAAATGCACTGAATTTTTAGCACGTAAACACTCTAGAAGGCAAAATTCTTGATGGATTTTGACGAAACTTGGTCTGGGTGTTTGTTATCACCCAAGGATGAACCGTATTCAAAATCAGACAAATTGAAAAATATATAGCATGAGTTATTGCCCTTGTTCTTGAAAATGCGTTCAATTTTTAGCCCATAAACACACTAGAAGTTGATAGATTTTGATGAAACTTGGTAATTTTATTCAGTATCGCCTCAAAAAGTTCAATGGAAGTTTATGACTGAAGGTTGAAAATTTCATACTGGTGATTGTTACTGTACTGCCAAATATTTTTATTTAAAATCAAAGCTGCCAGTGGGCGTATATTACCTTGCCTTGCAAGCTATCTTTAATACTGGAATCTGCTAATGGTTAAAAATGATATGTTAAGTCTATGAGTAATAAAAAAACTATGTTTTATGTATGTTTTTTAGAGGAAATGAAGATTTTAATACCTAAGAAAGGAGAAGAGAATAATAATCTGTTGATATTGATATTAGAAATGGCTGGTGATATTAGATTAATAATGGCTAGAAATACAAAATTACTAGATGAACAAGAGAAATATTTTACAGATATTAGGGAAGAAGAGGCAGCTATTGTTGATAATACTATTAGAACTAGTAGAACTCCAGGTAATCTAATCTTTAACATTTTTTATATTTTCAGTATTTTTTTTTTTAATGTGGAGTATCTTTAACAATTTTACCCAATTTTTTCGAAATCTATCAAAATTTGTGCAGTTTAAATTTTTACATGCAATTATATATAGACGTTTAAACGTAGGTGATAACGATATCATATACAATTTTCTCTGAAGAATGAATGAATTGATCATTGTTAGGACTGGGATTGTCTGGGATCAACATATGAAAATAGTGTGTAGATAATACTCCTAGAAAACATTTGGCTGTGTTTTTAATGGTCTCATGGTGCAGTATATACAAGTAATATCTGCCTTGAGAAATTTTAATAGTCTCATTAAAGTAGATAAACATTAACCATGTATTTGCTGAATTGTACTGAAAAAACAAAACTCTTTTAAACTATCTCTCTTTAAACAGTATATGATCTGCTTACTTCAATAATTCTTTGAAATCAAAATATCTATTTTAGAATATGAATGGGTATATAAATGGAGTAATAATACAGAATGTAATTTAGATGTTAGTGTTAGATGTTATGAACAAGCGCTGTCATTAAAACAAGTAGATTCCACGCATGAAACTAACTTACGAAAACGTCTAGGAAACTCTCTGAATGAATTGGGGGTATGGTACATGAATTTTGCTCAGAATACTCTACAAACACAAGGTAATTATTACATGATTTCAAACTTAATCTTAATTAGTCCACTTTATTTAGATATAGCTTGTGAAGTTGTAATATACATTCCATCTGGAACATCTTGCTTCATAAAACAGTAGAATATGATCAATTTATGTTGAGAAAGTGCAAAAACTTTCACAAATCTTGATTTTGAATATGCATGCATAATTTCTATATTAGATAAAACTTGGTTATCTATTTCCATCAAATTTAGGTGCTGATAAAGTTGATATTGAAAGATTAAAAATGATCTGGAAGAAAAGTGAAGATTGTTTTATTCGTGGAAAAGATGTCTTTCAACTAACAAATGATAAAACCAATGTGACATTGCTACTCTCTAATATTGGAAGATTAAAAAGACTGGGTGCTCAAACATACACACAATTGACATTATTATCTGATCGTCCAGAATTTACTGATATTGAAAGACAATATTACAGCAAGGTATGTTCTATGTTTTTAATGGAATAATTTTCAGAATAATGTGAAGTATTACCATTACATAAAATTTCGGGAAATTAAGAATTGAAAAAATAGTTCAAGGGTTCTTCATTAGAGGCTGAAAAAAACTACATACTAACTACATTGAAAATTTAAAAAAAAAATTTCAGGAAAACATTTGTAATTTTGCTAAAAAGCACACTACTCAATAGAAATATTAATAAAGTATTTTGATGATGTATTATTTGTATTGCAGGCAATAGAATGTTACCAAGCAGCATTAAGTATAATAAAAAATGATAAACAATACAACGATATTTCTGATTCTATTCTATGGGATCTATCTACAACTTACTACAATATGGCTATGTTATTACAAGATTATGCTCCATTGTCAACTTATGAAAAGGATGAGGTAAATATTCTAGAGTTATAGTAAAGAGTTTTAAGGAGCCCTCGCACCATATCAATCATCAATTATGTATGGTTGCGAATAAGTATAGTGGTCACAAATTTATTCTCATGCAACTGAGTTGTGTTTGGTACTTGTGACCACTTTCGCAACTGTATGCAACTGGTGTGAGGGCTTAATTTCAAGGTATTTATCATGTAGATTTTCTTCATTCCGAAACTCATGCTTGAACTCTAAAAGAGTTGTCATATAAAATTGGCATATTTAATGGTATTCATGAAGATGGTTGCAAGAATGTCTTAGTGGCATGTGAAGTCAGTCAGTAGATTCATAGTATTTGATAATTATTTCAGTGGAAAATCCGGCATCAGATACATAAACTGTATATTTCTGTGAACAGTGCACATTTTCTAAACCTGAAGTTTTAGTTGAAATTCTGCTCTATCAGTTGTGAAGATGATATTTAGATGATTATATTTCTTATCTTCAACAATTTGATTATTTTAGATAGAGAAAGATGTGATAGATTATATGAATAAATCATTAAACTTTTGTACACATGATATGTCAAAAACATATCAACATATGTGTCAATATAGATCAGCTATGATTAACCAAAGATTAGCATCATTATATCAAAATACACTACGTAGTATGGTAAGTGTAAAAGATAAAAATGAGATCAATTCCTATAAATTACAGCTATATATCTTTAACTTATTTGTATTGCCCACAGATAAGAACTGGTCAAAAACAAATTCTAGATGCTTATACTGTTTGGTATGATGTTATTGTCAATGTCACTGATTTATTGTACATAATGAGTTTAGACAAAATTCTTTATCAAAAAAATCAAAATAGATTCAATGTTTAGAAATGCAAGGAATAACATCTATCAATTTCAAACTACAGAGAGGTTAAAGCTTTAATTTGCAATAAAATCTGCTCAAAACAATTGAACATAATTATATAGAAACAAGAAAGTTTGTTGTAAATATCCTTGTATGACTATATTGTGATGTTGCTGCCAATTTCACCTTAGTGAGGAAAAACCCATTTCTGATTTCAGTCAAGGGAAACTAATGGTAATAATATTATATATATAATGATCATAATATATAATTGTGTTTGATTGTAGTTATCTGATCAGAAGAAGAGATATATTAAACAACTATCAGAAAGTCATTATAATAAAGCTATAACATTATTTAAACAACTAAAATGCCCATTTGAATTGTTACGGTCTATTTTAGAAAAATTAGCTTTAATGGAAATGTGTCAAACAGGTACGTATCACTATTTAGCATATCTTTATTTTGTTATATTAAGCTCTTAAACTTGTCTGCATAATTTTGGCAAAAAAAGAAAATTGGGACCAATTTTGGAATTCAGGCAAATTTTCCCATATCGCATACTGTATGGCAAAAAGTAGGTTGTAAAACTCCATGTTGATGGTAACTTTTAAAGCTCTATGAAGAAAATGTTGTTATTCTTTTTCAGTGCAAGCAACTAGTAAAGGTAGAATAAAATCACTATGTCATGTGATAACAGGTTTATTAGATTGTCAAGGTGTATTAGATGATTTAATAGTACAACAATCAGATTCTAATAGTAAACACACAGACGACTTACATGATTTACTGGATATTATCAAATCTAAATTACAATACCATTTATTACATATTGTCAAAAATTATACTTCCATGACAAAAGGGTAAGATTGATAATATGCAAAACCTTAGCTATGATCATAATCATTGAAGTAAGTTTCTATTTTTCTCAGACTTTCTTTTTTCACTGGAATGAATTGTTGAAAAATTTGCAACCATTGCTGTGTTAGTGTTTATTACATGAAGACATTGACTTTATATAAGTGATAAAAGTAAAATTATGCACATAGCATTTTTAAAACTGTTTATATCATGATCTTATAGCAATTTTTAACAGAATATAATGATGCAAAAAGATACATGTTTTTCTTTTCTAATTTTTAACTCATCAATATTTATTTATTTACAGTAAACATGAGGCTGTTATAAAAGAAGTCAAATGTCTCTATGCTAAAAGTTTACAAGGACCAGACAATCTTGTGGAAGTGTTAAAATGGTTATCAACATTACTTCAAGATTGTAGAAAAGTTCTGTCATTGATACATCAAGATCTGAGCTGATTTCAAACAATGAAACAGTGTTTTCTTCTTTCTACTGCCCATCAAAGAGTTGAATCTTATATACAATTATGTGACTTTTAATCAAATGTACACAGTGTAAAAAAACTGGCTTGATTCCATTGTGAAAGTCAATTTGATTTACTCTTAAGAAAATATGATAAATCGTAGAATTATTAACTATAGTCAACAAATAGTTGATGAAGCTTAAATCTGGATTGAATTCATGATAGTTTTTAAATATAAACATTAGAATTTATGTGGTCCATGAATAATTTACAAAAGTGTTTAGTATAGTAGTTGCCCATTTTGTGAGATTTGCAAATGTCTTTACTTTGTGTTGAGCATAACTAAAAAAAACACAAAGCTAGTCCTGATTATAAACAAAATTCTTATGCTAGACTTGACAAGGAGGTGATAAACCCTCTAGTCATACCCTTGATAGTCATTTTTTTTTCTCTACATTTGTTTGTTTTGTTAATTTATTGTCATTTTCAGTTTTACATGTTGAATATTGAAATGTTTTGGACTAAATGGCACAGTGTAAATGTTCATTTATTATTAGACATATAAAGACTTTTTGTGATATTTGAAATAATTTGTTAATTTAGTTTCTTTAGTTCTGTATTTAAATATGTTTTCAACCATCAGTAAAGAAGAAAGTTGATATAACAGTCAGATTAGGCCTGTGAATGCTATAGGGAATAGTTTTGATGATAAATGACATGCTAATATTGAATACATGACATGCTAATGTACGACGGCTGGCATTACTTGGATATTAACTAGTTCCTTTTTATACGCCCACATGAAATGTATTGTCGTCACCTATGTCCACAATTGTTCGTAAACACTCAAGAAGGCACAATTCTTGACTGTTTTTTTGATGAAACTTGTTATGATTGTTTGTAATCAGAACCCTATTGAAAACCAGAAAGATAGCTTGCCAGGCTAGGTAATATACGCCCACGGGCAGCTTTGATTTTAAATAAAAATGTTTGGCAGTACAGTAACAATTACCAGTATGAAATATTCAACCTTCAGATTTACACTTCTTTTGAACTTTTGTGGCGATACCGATTTTACCAAGTTTCGTCAAAATCTGTATAGAATTGTGCTTTATGGGCTAAAAATTGAACGCATTTTTAAGAACAAAGGCAATAACTCATACTAAACTATTTATTATATACACTCTAGAAGGCACAATTCTTGACAGATTTTGATGAATCTTGCTGTTCATGTTTGTGATCACCCAAGGATGAAGCCTATTAAAAATCAGCAGAATCAAAAAATATTTAGTGTGAGTTAAATACCCTTGTTTTTGAAAATGCGCAAAATGTTTTAGCTCGTCGGCATAATTCTTGACAGATTTTGACGAAATTTGGTGAAATTGTTCAGTATCGCCCAAAAAGTTAAAAAGTTGACTGAAGGTTATTGTACTGCCAAATATTTTTATTTAAAATCAAAGCTGCTAGTGGGCGTATATATCTTGCATGGCAACCTATCTTTCATTTTTGGAAATGGGTGGAAGATTTACGGGACCAATAGGGTGGATAAGTGGGATGATCAATGAGTTCAAAGGCACAATCATGATTCAGTTTGTGAACAAGGTAATTGATTTGGTTGACTCGTTTATGGTTATTCCCCATCGCTTAGATTTGATAGCTTCACACAACTGTCTCAGTAGATCTACATTATATATTCCATTGATAATTGGGTCTTTTTTAAGATAGTCAAGCGACAGAAGTTCCTTGGAATTCCAAAAGTATGAAAACATCATCTTTCATTAATTTTTTTGACGTTTATTGGGTTTCAGGTGGAAAGTGATGAATCCTGGTTTCATCATTTTTACAAATCGGGCCAAAAAAGGTGTTTTAAAGAGGGCACAAATTGTCACGTCCACTGGCAAGAGCTTTAGCGTCAATCTTGCAGAAAATTTTGTCATTCCAAACGCGTTGGTGATATTGTCCTCAATCCTCTCAAGAGAAGGTCCGAAGCCAAAGGGGGACTTGGGGGACAAAGCTTCCTAAATACAATCGTTTTTCCTGGCGTCTATAATTCTCCAAATTTCCTCGTATGGTGGTCCTACAGTGGGATGTGTTGCACATACTTGTTGCACACAAATCCTTGTGTTGTCTGTCCATTTTTTAATTCTAGTTCCAAATGGCCTAATTCCTTTCCCATGACATACACTTTCTTATATAAATCAGTCACAAATTGAAAATAATACAAAACTCAATTGATTCCACCATACTTTAATAAAGCAATAAACATAATAACTTTTTAAAATCTACATAATATAACAAATAATAAATGCCATATATTACGGGGTTGATTTGAGTCTTGAAAATATGTAAATAGTAAATAAAGAATATCGCATACTTCCTTCAAAAATATATCAAACTAAGAATTTTACTCGCTATTTCTATTTATGTCTTTTTTTATATATCAATGAGCATCGTAAAATGACGAGTCGGCATTTTAAAATTAAAACGCGGAGAATTCTGCAGGCCAACATAAATTTGATGGCTCAAATTTCGACGGTGAGCTCTGAACACTATAAATACTGATTGGTTTAGCTAAAATTCCAGTTTCTGAGACAAAAATATATATACTTTATATTTAAAAGTATAATTGGTCAAAAATAAATGCCACATCTATCCCTTTAACTATGTTTAATAGTTGTAGGGTAATAATCACAATTGTTTTGGGATATGGTGGATTTAAAATATAGTTATATACATGTGTATATGAATTTGAATTGATAATATTTCATTGTATTATAATAACATTTAAGATTCACCATATCCGAAAACAAATATGGTTAATAGCCTACAAATATTGAACATTATAGCTTGAATGTAAAATATGCCCACTGGCATCTGTCGGAAATGATTAATGTTTCAAACGGCTATCAAATAATTTCCATATTCGAACTTGACCAAGATCTCATAAATAAATGCATATACCAATTTTCATTAAGACTGGATTATAGTTGTACCCTCTATCATGTCGACAAGCAAAATTGTGCGCACTATTACTTAGTCAAGGACAAAAATTCAGAAAACAACATATCAATTAAATAAACAAGCATACCAAGTTTCATTAAGATTGGATAAAAACCTCTTTTGTGCCTACAAGCAAAGTTGACGCGTTTTTTCTAAGCCAAGTGCAATAACTCAAAACAGAACCCAATTCGAACTTGTCCGAGATCTTATCAATATATACAGATTGGTTATAAAATGTATAGCCTCTATCGTGCCTATACGAGAATTGTGAACGGACGGACAGGGGTGACGGCAATATACGTCCACATTAAATGTGGGCATACACAAAAGATTTAAAATTTTAGTAATTTACTCCAAATTCTTAGGGATTTGAATGAAATACTACATCAGTTAATATCATAAATGAAATGTTGAATGGAGTTAAAACATACTTTGACTTTCTCTGGATATTTCAGATTAAAAATATAAAAACATTTAAACAATAAATCAAAAGCAACTGATAATTTTGTAGGATTAACTAAAATAGCTTGATTCTCTAAAATTAAAAAAAATAATTAGGCTATTCGGTTTGATATTTAAAATGAATGGTTGTTATGTTCGTTCTTTGTAAAAATTCTTCCAGTGAAGTGCTTTCCTGAAAAATACAAAAGATAATTTGAATTAGTCATGAAGTAAACAAAATTGCTTGGTTTAAATAAATAATATTGTTTGAATAGTCAATTTTCTTCTTGTCAGTTCAGTCATATTATTTTTATTAAGAAGAGAACAGTTGGCATTTTCGAGGTTGAATATTTATGTAAATAGTCCTCAGATGTACCAGAACTGCACGAAAATCGCATAATCCCTTCAAAAATACCTTAAAAGGATTGTAAAGAGGTTTTCTAAATTTTGTTTTGCAAAGACAAGGATATAGGATCAATTTGCGCCATTCAAATTTCTAATCAGATTCCTATGGTTCTAGCAATTCTGGACGGGTACCTAACTGCCCTTTTCACATTCTTAGTCTGAGAACATGTATAACTTTTTTTTTACCCACCATGCATGTGATTTGATTTTTGAATCAAAAATACATGCTTTGAGATGAAAGTTAATACATTATTAATGTATATGAAACAAGTTAGGATCTGTCTGTTGATAAGTATCAAGAAGTAATATTTTGATGATAACTTATAATGTTATCAATAACATGTCTCATCAAGATAACACAATATTCTCTATACAGTCTGAAGTAAATCACGCCCAATCTTCACCCCCTCAATAACAGTTTGTGGTACATTCTCTAATATAATTTGAGGATAGTAGGAGGATTGATTTCCTCATAACCAGATTAAAAGATGTTTAATCCAGTATTGGTTACTAGTAAACGTGATACGGTGTAGAGTTGTTGATTAAGATGATTGTAAACAAATACCTAATTGAAGTGGGGGTAAGCTGGGCAAAGAGCAGTAGGCGTTATCATTTATCTATCAAAATGAACTTTGGAAAGTACAAGGTATTATTCTTACAGACATCTCATATCGATATAATTTAATTTGAGACAGGGGTTCAGTCATATTGCCTCATTATAGATAACATTTCAGACTTCATATCTAATTATTAAAGATACTGTCTCATTTCATTCTCGTCGTGATTAGTTTAAAACACCATATAATTATCAGGAAATGGAATATGAAAAATTATTTCGGCACGGCACCACGTCTGCCAATATTTACAGTTTCACACAACTGAATGGAGTGTCATCATCAGGATTGATAGATTTTTCTTGTCGTGTCACTTGGTCAGTAACCAGTTTTTCTGGACATGGTAAAGATGAACCTAGCGTCAAAGACTGCCAAAAACCGAGATGGGAACGAAATATGTATGGTTGTAATTGTAATGTGGTTCCAAAGACTTTTTCGCCAGTATTAGTTTATAGTGAAACATCTAGTAACAACGGAACATCCTGCAAATACTCTTCTAACCATCGGCAGATCAATAACAGTCACCAAACACCAGAATTGCGGCAAAGACTTTTGCTCAATACTCAGTATTATCAAGGAGCGAACTTGTATTACAGACATGAGGTATCAAACAAATTTTCCAATGTGCCTCCATATGACAAGATGTTTGATTTACAGAATGAAGAAAACCAAACTTCAGATAAAAAATCAAGAAAATATAAATGTCAATATTGTAATGTCACTTGTACAAATAATGGCCAATTAAAAGGACACGTGAGAGTCCATACAGGTAAGTTAAATTTGCATTCTTCTGACAACTTACGTTCAGCACTGACATTATTTTACAGGCGGTAAGACGGTAACTTCTGGATTAGGAAGCAGAAACAATTGTTGTGACGCACATATTATGCAAATCCTTGTTAGTTTTACGAATTTCTCGCTTTTAAATACAATTTGTAGTGACATAAGAAACCATATGAAAATGCTGCTATCCTACCGACCCGTACAATACCCCACCCCACCAACTTCCAAAATTATGAAAATATTGTTAAATTTTTTTAGTTTTTTTTTTTTAGGTGAGAAACCATTTCGATGTGATTATATAAACTGTGATAGATCGTTTGCCAGAAATGAAGAATTAACTCGCCACAGAAGAATACATTCTGGTATAAGACCACATCATTGCCAAACTTGTGGTAAATACTTTGGTAGAAAAGATCATCTTAATAAAGTAAGTAGCTATATAGAAAAATACATGTTTTTAAACGTGAGTTTATCTTCTTTTATAAAAAATACAACCTTAGCATCTAGAAATAGCTGAAAATTTATTAAAATGTCCAAATGACATGAAGTTTTTACTCCTTAGCTAGGATGCCCCGGTAAATGGAAAGCAAATGAGGAAGCATATTTAACAGTGTGCATAACTGAGGGAACCGAATATTCTCTAGTGGCAGTCAGTGGCAAGATGGTATATTGGTACCTTAAAAAAAAGATGATAGTTTAACAGAAGTTCTCACTCTTATGTTTTATGTCATAGCTTGATCATATCTGATCATATGGCAAATACAGTCAAATCAATAGTCATGTATATAGTCCAGTTCATGGGTCATCTCAGAAGATTTCAGATATTGGTGCATCATCACAGTAAAATATTTATATCATTGACTGATTCTTTTGCAGCATTTAAAAACACATCTAAAGACTGCAGAGAAAAAGAACTATATATGTATTGTGAGTGGTTGTGGACAAAGATATACTAGAAGTGATGCCTTAGCTCGTCACCAATGGTCAACTCATAGTATCAAACCTAAAACTAATAAATATAAACAATCTCATATTTGTTAAAATAAATTATTTATTATATTTATTCGAATAAATTCATCAACAATAAAAAGTCATTACGTTTTCAATTCATCTCTTCGGGTACATTACATTTTTTTTTTCTGACACATCTTCAAAAATCATCACCTGAGTGCTATTCCACATCATTATTCAAATCAAAGGCAATTTAGGAAAATATTGCCCAATCACATATCATTACCAGTTAAACTCATTTCACTAGATGTCTACCTAGAGACCTGTTCAATGTTAGGTTATGATTTTATTCTGACAATGGTCTGGAAGTGGATTGTCTTTAACATATTTTTGTAAATAAGAACATGTTAGTTTTATTTGGACATCTTCTGCTGTAAAATGATCTAAAGCTGCCTGGAAAATAACAATGTTTTGAAATTAACTTATCGAACTCTGTGGAAGTGACATGGTGCAAGTCTCCCATGGAACATCTGAAAGGGTTCTCATCAAAAAAAATTAGAGAAAAAAATTTTGATTTGGTGCATTCTGACACATATTTTGAATCAAAAACGTATTACAAGCACATTTGCTAGAAATGAAGTGCGGCTATTGAGGGTACAAACCATTTTTTTAGGAGGGTATATATATATATATTTGAACTGAACTATACCTCTGTATATTTACATTAAGATATATATTTGGCAATTCTTATACTTCAGCTTGTACTTTGGTTAGTGTTTAGTAAATTCTATATTTTTGATGAAATCTATATACTGGTATATTTATCACCTTTGATACATTTTGATGCATTTAAGAATTTCTTTTATGAATACAAAAAATTTAATACCTTGGCTAAATGCTTTGCAATTCCTTTGCCTCTGAATACTGGCGGCACTTCTGTATGATATAAATCCACTATCGTGGGCTTTATTAACTCATATTGTAATAATGCCTTTTGACTTTCACCATTTTCTACAAAAAAATACATAATAATTTCTGCAGTTCTGTCATGACATGTATTTTCAAACATTTTTAAACATACTGGATTACTGGTATGCCTTCTACAGGTGACTGGAATTAAATTCTGTCGCCTCATAATGTGAATAATAACACAGAGACATACTTATTGTAAATAATTTAGTAATCAAGTAGCATTTTACATCAGAGAAACCTTAATAAAACGCAACAGAAAAAAATCAGTAAATAAATCATACCACAATTCATTGATATAAAAAATTCTTTATCTTCCTTGGAATGATTAACACTAACATCCATTGTCTTTGAATTTGAACTCCACACGTATTGTGTTAGTCTTGAAGATGATGTAGTTTTTAAAATGTTATTACTCAATCTTGATAACATGTGTAAATAGGTCAGTTATCACCTCATATACATTTCTCTTTAATGTCTGCCTTTGATTTATTTCTATCATCTATTTCTTCCAATACTTGCAGTCCAATTGTTCCTTATTCACTCCTAGAAATATGGACAAAAATTATAGTTCAGAAGACTCTAAATAAAAATGAAACAGAAAAAAAGGAACAAGAAGAAATATCCAGACAAGCACATCTCTTTGATAAGCAGGATGCCAATTATTTTTGTAGTAACCAGTAAGATTTCAGCTTTGATAAAGTTTATAATTATTCCAGATGAAAGACATGCAAAAATAAGATGCCTTCTGCTTTCTTATGTGTAAAGATTCAAACCTTTATCACAATGTTATGTATTCCATAGTATTTTTTTCCTATTTCAAAATATTCATTTATTATCATGATTACCAGTACTGTAGTATGGTCAAGTAACCTAATTTCGCCCTAACCTATTTTTTGTGCATTTCTGGAAATGATTAATAATTTACATGTGGGACCTCTGCATTTGCTTGTTCTGATAAACATGGGTTATTTGTACAATATCAGCTAGTAGAATGAATCCAGTAGTTTCAAGCAAGGTAAAATGTTTAAATGTATACTTTGAAAAATGGCGGATTTCAGTTATTCCTAAACCTCACAATTTTTTTATATAAATACTTAGAGAAGTTTATTATACCACATATCTATAAAGCAAACATTGTACACGAAAATAGGTAACGTACTGACGCATTTTGCTGCTGTTGTCGAATTGGTTACTCATGAAATATGGGTCAAAATGAGGGATTCATAAAGAAGATCGAAACAATCTGTTTTTTTAACCTTGACGAAATTCAAGGTAAAATGTTTAAATGTATACTTTGAAAAATGGCGGATTTCAGTTATTACTAAACCTCACAATTTTTTTATATAAATACTTAGAGAAGTTTATTATACCACATATCTATAAAGCAAACATTGTAAATGAAAATAGGTACCGTACTGACGCATTTTGCTGCTGTTGTCGAATTGGTTACTCATGAAATATGGGTCAAAATGAGGGATTCATAAAGAAGATCGAAACAATCTGTTTTTTTAACCTTGACGAAATTCGGTGTTGAATCCTTATATGCACGAAAATAGATTACACCACTTTAATAACATAAATATGATGATGTTTGTGCGACTATTATTAGCTGCTGGACTGAAACATTTAACTATTCAAGCCTCTGATAGCTATTTAGAAAGTTGTCAGCTGGTGTTGAACTTGAAGAGACAGAAATATTATGGGTTAAACCTAGCGTACTTATTTAAATTAGATCATCCTAGGCCTAACCCATATATATTCGGAGAGCTTGATATTTGTGTAGTTCTGTCATACCATCATAATCCCCAAACATCGATATTCAAATTTTTTTAAAACGAAATTTATCCCTTGTTGGCCATTTAAAACTGTGTTCCAGCCAAAAAGTTCAGGGGACATATACCATACCGGTATATGATATGATAGAGTAGAATAACGCCATTGGCTACTATCAAAACGAAAGTGACTGCTTTTGTCATTAAAGGTAATTTGTTACAAAAAAAAAACACATCTTTGGAGAGGTGGAAAATTCCTCGTGTTTCTGACCCTGCTCCAGCCGATAACTGTCAAAATATCTATCATTAGAGGTAGATGTTTCGGACTATTATTACCGTGGGTTACATTCTCAAATCTGGATCCAATGCTACTTATTAAACTTTTGTGTACAATTAAAAGGTTTTATAAATCGTTTACAGAGAATTTGTACGAAGTTCGATTATGGTTGTAGTTATACCTTTATCAGACTTTGGAACTTGAGGTGCAATGAGAACGATTAATTGTTCGAGAACAAGCAATAAAGGGGCGTTACTCTCAATAAAACTTCCGTTTTTAACAAAATAAATAACACGTGAAAGTACTCATAACAGAAAATAATCATTTATAAACCATAATGTGTTGAGATTGACAATATAGAAATGGCAGAGTGTAAGTTTGCCCAAGATCAACTGGCAAAGTATGGTTGGGTTTCAGGTAATAATGACTCATTTGGACCAATAGTTAGATTATTCGCCTACAGACCAACAGGGTTGACAATACTGTTCACTGTATAAACAGTGTTACTGTTGTAGACGATTATTAGTCAAATTATGTAGTGATCTAGCATCTACTTGTCTCCACTGACAAGATTCGTGGTCAAGCAACCAACACGGCAACAGCGGCAGAATGCGTCACCTATTTTCATGTACAATGTTTGATCTATAAATAAGTCGAGAAAAACACGTTGTATAGATACCAGGTGGTATAATTAACTTCTCTTAGTATTTATCTTTAATATCAATTCATTATAACTAGTGACAATTCCTTCAAAGAACCACGATTTTGAAATAAAATAGTGACTAACAAAATAAGATACCTAGCGTAATTTATTGCTAAAAGTCACTGAAACAACATAAGAATATGGTCCACTTTGTGTTCCATAGAAATTTTCTGCTGACACGGAATCCGTTAGTTGATCACGTGACTTCATTCGTTGGACTACATTCTAGCAGACGACACTTGGAATTCCGATTACCGCTTGGGATTATAAGAAATTCAGCCGATAAAAAATGGTGACGTTTGGTAATAAGTGAAGTCCGCCATTTTGTACTTGTCAAAGTATACATTAATACATTTTACCTTGCTTGAAACTACTGGATTCATTCTACTAGCTGATATTGTAAAACCCATGTTTATCACAACAAACTAATGCGGAGGTTGCGCAAGGTCGCTCATGTAAATTATTAAACATTTCCGGAAATCCACGAATAATAGGTTTCCACGAAATTAGGTTACTTGACTGTAATTCCAAGTTGCCATACCATTTGTCTTATTTTTAAGAATAGAATATCTTTCGGCTCTAAATTGAATAATTGTTTCTAAATCAGATTTGTCTAACTATTTTGTTTCAGATTTCAGTCAAAATATGGAATTATTTTCTTATGAAATTTTGGAGAGAAAATTGTATTTCTTTCAATTGTAAATCATTAACCTTTTTCTATATTTCTTCGGACGTTCAACCTTTAATGATTGTAATGTATTGCTTGTGAATGCAATAAAAAGATTTTGATTTTTTGATGAATATTTTTGCTTTCAAATAGATTGGACAGGATGCTGTGAATAATTTTCTATTGCTGTTTATTATGTTACAGGATCTGGTCTTGGTAAAGATGAACAGGGTATAAAATCGCACATTAAAGTTTCAATCAAGAACAATAAAAAAGGGGTATGTGTTATAAAGATTTGTTGAAAATTTCTGTCAATTCAATTTGTATTTTTGCTAAAATGGTGTGTTTGACAATTACAAGAACAATTTGATGGAAATTCTTACTCTTATTCATTGTTATGTTCTTTTTTCCATATTATGAGAAGTTAAATTGTAAACTAAACTAGGTGCTCTGTAATATAAAATAAATCATGAAATTTATATTTTGTAGGTTGGTCATGATCCAAGTAAAGAATTTACCAACAATTGGTGGGATCAAATGTTCAATGAGGCAGCTAATAGTATAACTGTCAATAATACTGAGGTGATGTATCTTTATATAATTCCATAGTCGTTTAAAGGAAACAATCTTTAGATTCAAATATTGTTTCATTGGATACAAGTTCCTGCTTACCTGAAGTGGTTTGTTTAAACAATATTTTAATGTCATTTGTAGACAGGAGTAGATGTGAAAAAAGTTGAGAAAGAAAATGAGAAAAAAGTGAAGAAAACTGTTCTGTATGGAAATTTTATCAAGGTATGAGTTTAATTCTAAAGAAAAACTCCTTGTCTTTCAAAAGCATTCATGTGAAAAGTGAACCATTTCTTTCATGCTAAGAATATCCTATTCAGGGGGTGTATCTTACCTTGCTTGGCAAGCTATCTTCAAATTCTATGATTTATTGTTCAGACATCAACATTAACTAATACAGAAGATGGATGTAGTGAAGAAATCAGGCATGAAGAAGAGTTATCAGAAGAAGAAGATATAATTAATTCTAAGTAAGAATAAATAAGAATAAACGGAGCCTCTAAGGCGCAATTGTAAACATATTTATTTATTATTTCGTTTAAACGAAATAACATGATGTTATTTCGTTTAAACGAATTAATTATTTCGTCTATTTCGTTTAAACAAAATAATTAACCCATCTTTTTATTTCGTTTAAACGAAATATAAATAAATATG